TACATCAACACACTTTAAGGTTTAGGCCACTGTGTCCATTCCTTCTGTCTCCTGCATTCACCTTCTCTTTTCTTATCTCTGTTGCTTTGTATGCCTCTTATGTTAATAAACACTATTGCAGCCAGATAAACCAGAGTTGACTGAGACAGCTTTATAACCATCTTTGCAGTACAGGTTCCCAGGACCAATGTTAGGTTCAGTGAAGACAGATGTCCGAAAGATATCCTCATTGTTCTCATTTGAACAATCTTTTTATATTTACATCTATTCTTTTCTTTTTATGTTTGCTTGTTTTTGTTAGTTGTTTGTTGAGGTCTTGTTTCTTTGGGGTTCTATTGATGTATGGGGTGAGTAGATGGCTGGGGGTGGGTTCTCTGGAAAATTAGTGAAATCGGCTCAAAGCAGAAAGTAGTGAGTAGATAAATGTAGCCTCTGCTCACCTGACATAGACAGTGGCTGCAGGTCTTTGTTCTAGTCTGATGGATTCATCAGTGATGTTAGGCATGGTGCCAGGAGGAATAAACCAGGACAAAGTAAGATCCAGATTGTCCCCTTCTTTAGAGGTGAGCAGTGCAGGCCAGGTGTCTACACGGATCAGATCATCTACAAGTGACAAACACAACTCTAAAAACCTTGAGGAAGTCAAACTCATTTTCTACACAGACCAAACAATTTGTTGTCATCTTGTCACCAGTTACAAAACATTTAGTTGTAAAAGTGATTTTTAAATACTGACAAAAGCACTTCAGATAAAAGTGTAGTTTTAAAATCTCCTTAGCCTTAATTTAAAACACAAAATATGTGTGAGTTTTTCTTTCATCACATTACATTAACTGGACTACTAATCAGCATTAAACAACACAAAACAACAGTGTGAGTGAAAACCTTTGTGTCAAACCTTGGCTTGCTTGATTGTATTTCTTGCAGTATTCTTTCAGCTTCAAGTTTGCACCAATTACACCTTCTTTGTTGAACGTTTTGGCTGTGATGGTAATCCAGTTTGTGGCAACATATAGACGCTCCTCAAAATCCTGTACACAGCAGAAACATAAAGTGTCTTTCTAATTAAACAAAGTTTAAAGAAGCATTCCAATGACGTGTGTGAAGTGCTCTAAATCCTACCTGGGTTTTTTTAACCAGTTGGTACTCAGGACATTGTTTGCCATGACAAAATTCTGGAGCCTTCCAACCTTCACAGAACGACCCCAGGACAAGAGCTACAAGCACAGACAGTGGTCGGTCCATGACTCTCCAAAGTTAATCCACAGATGCAGCTTCAGAAACACCGACACTGCTTTTAGATCATTTCCCATCTCAAGTATCCAGTTTATCAGGTTATTTAGACACGCCCACATTGTTCTTCTTGGAAGAACCACATTGTTCTTTTTCATTTCAAAGCTACAGATAGTTTGACTTCAGATCAAATGACCAAGACTTCTCATCAGCACAAGTCAATATGTATTTGACAAATGTGTTTTCCTGAATGATTCTTTGATTTCACTGTATTATATGAGGTCATTGTCACACTTCAGAGATGAGTCTAATGTTTTTGAGGATTCAACTTGGCCATGCAATCTGTAAATGAGATTAAGGCCAACCTGATACCATAGGAGCAGGGACATGAAGGAAGTGAACGACATGTACTCAGGGTGTTTTGATATGATATGTGTTTTATGAGCTCACAATGATGAGCTCACCTAATTTTCATTTGAACTGTCAGCAGCTTAAAGCAGTGGTTCTCAACCTTTTTGGGGGCCAGAGCCCCTCTATCCACCAGTTTCCTTGCTGCCTCCCATCAAATAAATGAAAATGAATTGTCTTCTCTGATAATAAATATTGTATTTGATTCCACTGTACAGTTAGTTTCTCAGGGAGCAAAATAGACATGTGAATTGAAAAGGTATTTGAACAAATGCATCCATCAGATCTGTTATCTATACCATTTTTTGGGACATAGAGGAAACTGAAATCAAAGAGGCGGGTACACCCTGGACAGGCCACCATCGTATCACAGATCCAACATAAAGAGACAAACATCCAATAATCCTCACATTCATACCTACCATCCATTTAGAGCCTCAATCAACCTAATTCCAAATTTGCATGTCTTTGGACTGCAGGAGTTAGGACCCAGAGAGAACCCACAGACATAGAACCAGGAACCTTCCTGCTGTGAGACTACAGTGCTACCCACTGCACCACCATGCCAGCCATACCTAAGGTATAAACAAGCTAACCCTGTGTTACATATGTTAGTAGTTTTGCAGAATAAAACTTTTTGGCATAAAACAGAGCAGGAAGGATTTAGTAGATTTGTGAATAGAGTTCAAACATTGTTTTATGCTGTCCCAGGAAAATGATCGTAATTGTTCTGTATTTTGGGGTGTGACATTTTCTTTTATTCACAGACTTATCAAAGATTTTAAATGTTCACAACATGAGTGTGATGAAACCAGAGTTGCAGCAGTGTGTAGTACACTCCTCTGTCTCAGACACGTGCCTACCCCATTGGAGAAATCTACAGTCGTGCCAAAGCCCAAGACTTCCAAAACTTAAAACAACACAGAGAAATGATTGACAGGACTTGTTGTGGTCTCACTGATGAGAGAATGTACCCTGAGTTAGCTTCTAAGCACCTGCTTTGGTACCATATGAGAGTCAGTTCCAGGCCAGTAAGGTGAAGTTTAATCCTTAACATTTATACACAGACGAGTGTCTGTTGGTAATAGTCAGACTAATTAGACTGAACATATTATCTCCTAGTATTTGCTAATTCTGCAAACAGAACTATTTTGTCATTAACTGATTAGGCCTGGTCTTTTGTTCCACTTTGCATCTTCCACTCTCAGTTATTGTGTTTATCCAGCATTAGTGGTTATTAGTCAATACATTCGTTTTCATTAGACGGTGACATTGCTTGTGTGTTTATAAAGCTACACCTGACTGCTGTCTGCTGCAGTTATATTACTCATTTCTCCATTAGTATGTGATGTCAGTTTGGGCTAATTTATACTGCATACTGTACATCCATTATACTGAGTTGTCCAGAGGCTTCTGCAGCTTTAATGTTTCATCATCTTCTCAGAAAGATACTTGAGATGTTAAATGCCTGTTTGTGACCAGAAGTCCTAGTACAGGGTGGGATCACTGGGTTATCTCTGCCTCTGTTAGTATCCTCTTTGTGGAATGTGGTGGTAATTTCTATGGACACAACACATCATGTGAGATGTGAAAATGATTAGAGAGATAGATAAATAGAAAATTATTGAAATCACTCGCATCTCAACCTCAGTAGCACATGCCATCACTCAGCCACTCAACTGCTATTTTCTTTAATGTCAAATCAGGTAGAATCAGTGCATCAGGGCCTGTGTTTCAACCCTTATCTTGTGAGAGCAAGGGAAACAAAAAAACAGATGTAAATGGTGAAATTAAGTTATTTGTCAGCAAAAGTTTGGGATCAGATCACAAAAATAAAAAGGAGAAGGGCCGAAGGATGCTGCCCCAAAGAAATAAATATTCCCACAAGAGGAACAAAGAGCTAACTACAGCAGGGACTAGAAATTGAAACAAAATCATCTGGTCTATTTCAAAAACCCAAAATACAAAGAGGACCGCACCGTGACACCAGTTTCTAATTCTAATACACCGGCATAGTCCCAAGGTTAAAAAGATTAACATGTTAGTCAGTACAGAAGAGGCATGTCTGGCTGAGTGCAGCTGCCATGACTGGTAGGTCGCACAATACTATTGTGAGTCTGCTGCACAACAATGCGTCTGGTCATGGCCCAGCTATTTATGATTTTATCAGTTAGTGTAAAGATTCTTTTTAGTTCTTAACATATCCAAAACAAAAGGATAGGATTATTGATTTTAGAAAGTATGCTCCAACATATGATTCTACAATCCTCAAAGGCCAGAATGTGGAGAGTGTTAAAATAGCATCTTGGAAGAGTCATTGACTCTAAATTAACCTTTAATAAGAACTGCGAGGCAGTTCGCAAAAAAGGTTATCAGCATTTAACTTGCCTTAGTAAATTGTCTCCTATTAACATTGATGTAACCATGCTGACCCTCTTTTATTGAATCTGTGTTGTTTTCTTCCCTTGTGTCTTGGTTCAGTATAACTTGTCTCCGCACTACTGGTGTTTGTTTTGATGTTTTATGAGCTGATAAGATGTGATATCCTCTTTTTAACGAATGTTGTGTTGTTTTTGTTTCCTGTTTCTAACTTTGGATTGCTGTACCCCGTCTGCATAACAAATTTATCTACGGGTACTAAGAAACCTTGAAGTACAGTCTCACCAAGCTGCTAGCATGGGTTCTATTCCACTGAAACATCCTTGAAGGAAATGATGCTGACTGACAGCAACTACTCTTCTACATTTTGGCTGAGTGAGTCAGATCAGTGGACAAACAAACAAATACCTTGTGAACTTTAGCAGCATGATGGGATAAACAATATAGGAATAATGGAAATAGTGTTATATTGTCAATGTAGGTTTATTCCACCCTAATATGAGAGGTTCTGCAAATGAGATCATTGTATATTAACCGAGGACCTGAACACTTCCCATCTGTACCATCCATCACATACGATATGAACCTAAAGACACCTCCAACCTCTGCTGTGTGCACATCAACACTATGAATGTTCTGTGCTGTTCACAGTCCATAGTGTCCTGACTGTCTGAGTCTGTAAGGTGAACAGTAGTTGATCTGGCATGATCTCTGCAGTGCCATCCTGTGACTGGTGTCATACAGTATGTCCTATCATGTTTTCAGTCAATCAATGGGAGGACGTATTGAGCATCTTTATCTACTGTGTCCATTTTGGATGATTTAGCAACAGTGCTTGTGTTTTCTTCTGACACAATTATTACTCAGCACATTTTCATTTCAATTTCATAGCAAATTTCCATGTAACTTTATTACATGAGTTCAATGTTAAGGTTCACATTTAATGAAGTGTTTTCTATCATCTGTGAATACCTAAAATACCGAAAATTACGAAACAATATTCATGCTTGGCAGAAATGGAAACGTTGGTGTAATGATGACAGCTCATGTAAATACAATTTAGTGCAATGAAAACAGATTCATTAGAATTTGAATATAAACCTTTCCCACCTCCTGAATATTTGAATTTTAAGTTAAAAGAAAAAGCACTATGGGGCGGATGGTGCTGAGGGGTAGAGCGGTCGTCCTCCAACCAGAAGGTCGGCAGCTCAATCCCAGTCTTCCCCAACTGCATGCCAAAGTGTCCATGGGCAAGATGCTGAACCCCGAATTGCTCTCATAGAAAAAAGTGTTGTTAATAGATGCCCTGTGTGAATGGCAAACTGTAGTGTAAAGAGCTTTGAGTGGTCATCAAGACTAGAAAAACTCTATAGACATATTTACTATCATGCCCCTTTTCCACCACAGCAGTTCCAGGACCAGTTAGGAGCCAGTGGAAAAAGATCTTTGTATTACAATAGCTAAAAAACTGGCTCTTGGCCACACAAATTGGTTCCAGGCTAGCACCAACTCATTGCCGGTCTAGAGGAAAGAACAGTCTACTTCAGCGTCATTAACGTGACCATTTGTGATTCAACCACACCTCACTGCTCTCTGTGCAAAACACATCTGTGTTGGTGAAGACCAAATCTATTGTTTTTACCCATTCTGAGTTTACAGATGTGTCTGAAAACAAGGTGTGTGTCTCTGTGTCAGTGCGCAAGTCAGGGGGATATAAGGATGAACGAAAGATTTTAGTGATTGCAGAAAAGTCTTGATAATGATAATGTGGCGGTGGTTACAAACAAATCAACGAGTAACCTGAACACATCAGGGGAGTCAGTGTGTGTCTGTGTGTCAGAGAGAGAAGAGAGCAAGTGGAGTAAGGTTGGACTAAATGAATGAATGGATCTATTTCACGGGGCGGCCGTGGCTCAGCGGTAGAGCAGGTCGTCCAATAACCGGAAGGTTGGCGGTTCGATCTGTTCGAGAAAAATTGGATGGGGTGGCAGCTCATCTCCTCGCCACGACCGAGGTGCCCTTGAGCAAGGCACCGCCCCCCTCCCCCCAACATCTGCTCCCCGGGCGCTGACAACAGCAGCCCACCGCTCCAGTATATGTGTGTACATGGAATCTGTCTATGTGTGTTTCTATGCATGTGCGTGTTTCGACAGGTGCCAACTGGATGGGTTCAATGCGGAGAACAATTTCGTGTTTGCATGTAAAAGTGTTAACATGACAATAAAAGTAAATCTTCTTCTTCTTAATTTAATATGTGATAAGTGCCAGTTTGCAGGTTCATTTATACAGTTGAGGCATAGAGATGTAGACAGTGACGTATATGGTGACGCAATGACGTGGCTCTAACCCATGGAAAAGCAAACAGTTTTTTTTAAAGGTTCCTAAATTGAACCAGCTCCGAACCAGCACTAGCACTCAGTCCACTTTGGTGGAAAAGGGGTATTATTCTGATACATGGATTTATAGGAGAGGAACATTAATAGTAAACAGTTTGTTTCGAAATAAACTTTTTGATATAGTAATATAATAGTTATACAATATCAAATTTGTCACAATAAAAAAAGAAATTTACAATCCACACTGAAAATATCAAGAATGCTCAGTCTCCTCCAAGTTTCAAATTCTACTTGAAACTGGACAAATGACGGAAATGTTGAACAGTAACTATGCTACTCCTCCAACAGAGGTGGAGGAGAGAGCTGCAGTTGGAAATTCTCTGCTCCTGGTTGGGCCGGGATCAGAGGCCCCGTCTTCTCGCTGTGGCAGTGGGAGAGTTCTGAAAGGATGGACAACTGGAAGACAGAGACAAAGAGACAGAGACACACACACACACACACAGACAGAGAGAGAGAGAGAGAGAGAGAGAGAAATAATAAAATAATTATATATTGTACCTGTGTACGTGGTCAACAATAACAAGATAAAAATGAGATGCTGCACAATTATTAGGATGTGACAATAAAACAGAGAGGTGTGGGGAGTGAAGTGCAGACCCTATATGGAAACTTACTAACTGTATTGTGTATGATGACTAATATTTAGTGTTATGAAGAGCTGGCGTGACTCAACAGCTTGGGGCAAACTGACCTTCCACTTAAACTTAGCTCAAAGTAAGGGTGTTGTGATATACCACAATTGACGATGCTCGTAATTCTTAATGAATGAATTATTGACATGTTATTAATAAACATATGTAAATTATTCAGAAATAATCAGCACCTCCCAAATCCTTTCGGTTTCGAGTTTTATTTACATGATCTCTTACAAGTGGTGTATGGATTAAACAAACAAAATTAACAAATTATTAAAAATGTTTACTTTGGTATTCATTTAATACTACTAATACTACCACTGCTACTACTAATACTAATAATAATAATAATAATAATAAGATGAAGTTAAAGATGAAATTGATTAATAGAATCATTATTTAAACTTTCTATAGATATGATAATATCATGAATATGAATATTTTTACTGTGAACCATTTAGGACCCAATAATCTCTCAGTGAAAATCTGATATTGTGACAGTGTTATCTCAAAGCTGATGTCATGACCTACAGTGATGTGACTGTGACTGAATATTGTGACTGTATATTTTTGAATTTGTATATGCAGACAGTGTATGTACCCTGGATGGTCCCCGGTATAAAGAGCGTAGCTGATCCCAGGACTGTTGCTGCTGAAGGTCCAATGATGCCTCAACAAACACCTGGTACACAACAAAGAAACAGAATAAACAGAAGAAATAGATTTGTTGCATTTGTGCAATAAGTGAAATACATGCAGTTTGAGAGCAGCTGTGATACAAACAGCATAAAATTGGGATATTTTGTGGGGGTGGGCATAATTAGAAACAATACTGCAGCACTGCAGTGAATACTGTTGAGTTGGGGCTCAGAGCAGAGGGCAGAAATGGGATCATCAAGGATGATCTTTGAGCAAGAGTGCCGTAGGGCAAAGGAACCAGCTGGAACTTAAGTTTCACTTTCGGTTGCCGTTCCCGGCAGAGCTATTAGATCGGCGCTCCACTGAAGAGAGGAAAAAAACAACAACAAATCACCGGGTCATTAAGAAAAGTGAAAAAACCGGTGTGGACACTTGGCGTCTCAGCAGGGAGACAAAGAGAAGACAGCGTTCTCCTCACGGCTTAACCAAAGATGCTACTGGCGTGGAGAAAACAAAAGAGACTGATTCAATTTGATTTTGATATTGGAAATGTGTTATAAATTAAGTTAATGAAAACGATAAAGGTTGACTCACCTTGATTACGAGTGTACATTATTATTGTTTAGAAGAGTATTATGTTTGTTTTCTATTTTTGATGTACTTATGTAAAGTTAAAGGTACAGTGTGTAAAAGTTTTGTGACATCTAGTGTTGAAGTTTCATGTTGCAGCTGAACACCCCTCACCTCACCCTCTCCTTCCAAACATGAAAAAGAACCTGTGGTAGACTTCGGTTGTCATAAAAACTCAAAAGGTGTTTAGTTTGTTCAGTCTGGAGAGGGTCCCCTCGATGTAAATATAAAGTATTTAAATATAAAGGGTCTTTTCCGGGGTAAAGAAAACTACAATTCATACAATTTAAATGAAACACACTAGTGAAAACATCATGAGGATTATTCTACATTCAATTTGTGCCAATAGATCCTTTCACCTAAATCTTACACACTGGACCTTTAAATGGATATTCTCTTACTATATATTGTGAACATTTTTAATCTTTTGTCTTTTGACAAAAAGTGTGAAAATTCTGCAATCAATATTAAACCTCCATTGTGCACAGACGTGGATTGAAAATAAAAAGGGAGGAAAAGAAGAGTGAGTTGTCCTGTGCGTTAACCAGGCAATTGTCAAGTTTGGGCAGGGGCTGAACAAAACCTAGGAGAACTTGGCAAATACTATGCACATAATAAACCTTAGAAAGACCCATGTAGGTTGCACAATAACCTCAACACAATGTTGCTAATAAACATTTTGTACAGCAGCTGACATGTTACATTTTTCCAAATTAAATCAATCTTAAAGGTAATTCCACTTTTCCACTACTACAACTTGACTTGAAGGACATTTCAAAGGGCCACTACAAAAGATGGCAGTAACCTCTCCTAGCTGTTAGATGGAATAGTCAAGAAAATCAAACTATCCACTGAGTTTAATGAGTAAAAATCTAAAAACATATTTCAGTATATGCAGAGCCAGAGACGACAGGAGAGCAGCTCAGATAAAACGTTACCTTCTTCCTGTGAGCTTCTGCTCCTGCATCATGATGTACTGATGTAACACGAGTCTGAGACAGAGAGAGGAGCAGAGTTTGGTCACTGTGTGTGTGTGTGTGTATATTTGAACCCAGATCTTTCTTTCTTTGCATGAAGAAACACACACCTGTGCCAGGGACGTGCTGCGGCTTCTGTTCGGTTCAGAGGCAGACCCTCCCTTCCCTCCTTGGCTGGAGGAACACTTGTAGCAGCTCCACCGCTGCTGCCGCTCTGAAGCAAGGCGCCACCCACAGTCCTTCTGCTGCAGGCACTGGAAGTGGTACAGGTGACCACATCTGACAAGACAAACACATTTTCAATTCAATTTGCAATTTAGCCGATAAAACGACAGCAATACAGTTAAACTTAATATTTTTGGGTATATTTTCTACATTGTCATGCAAGAAACATTCAACATATCCTTACTAGAAAATCAATATGATATTAAAACCAAAACATTAGCCGCACAAACGCTATCGGTCGAAAGCTGGATGTGACGTTTATTTTGCCCGTTCTGGAAAGGCTGGAATAATTCCTGACAACATGACAATAAACAGATTATCAGAAAACTACTAAACGTTAAAAGGTCCAGAATGTAAGATTTAGGTGAAAGGATCTATTGACATAAATTGAATATAAAACAATCCTAGTGATGTTTTCACTGGTGTGTTTCATCTAAATTGTACAAAATGTTGTTTTCTTTACCCTAGAATGGGTCCTTTATATTTAAATACTTTATATTTACATCTAGAGGGGGTCCTCTATACGGAGGCCGCCATGTTTTTTTACAGTTGCCCAGACTGGACAAACTAAACACCTTTTGAGGTTTGATGACAACTGAAGGTTTCAACAGGTTCTCCTACATGTTTGGAAGGGGGGTTGAGGTGAGGGATATTCAGCTGCAATATGCAACTTCAACACTTGATGTCACTAAATTCTACACACTGAACCTTTAATGTTTCAAAACCGCGACACAAAAGAGGTTAAGTTTTCACCCATGTCCGTTGGTTGTTTTGTTTGTTTGTCAGTTTGTTAGCAGGATTAAACAAACCAACACTGGAGGAACAAAACTTGGGGGAGGGATGGATTTGGGAAAAACATATTACATATCGGTGCAAATGAAGATTAAAAGGCAGATTTATTTTATGACAAATAAATTATTTGGGTTATCAGACCCCTTTTCTTTCTTCTATAAAAACTTCAAAAGTCATGTGTAAGACTGCTGGCCCTACCTAGTGGTATGCACACTGAGTTCTATTCTAGCTACAGAAAAAAAACCACAAACACAGCACTGAATGACAGTGTTTTCTAATATAAGGATCATAATTATCACAAATATTATACATTTTATTTAATTTCAAGCTCGTTTGCTTGACTCTGAAGAGTGAAGAAGCAAAAACTGAACAGGGCAGATGGATGACATCACCTCAAATAATGCTGTTATAAGTTCCCCGTTTGCAAATCAGAGCTCAGTATTCAGGTCAGGTGACACTCCATGGCTGTGACTCAATATGCAGCCTGATAAAGAATTTTAATGTAATCTTGTGTATTAGTACGAGACCCTGGGTATTCATTTCATTCTGTTCAAATGATGAGCAACACCTGAGTTCTACTTTACTTCCATAATGAAAATACTGCGTGTGCTGCCACCTAGCAGTCCCTCCATGCTCCACCACACAAGCCTGAAAACCACTGTCTGAGAATGTGCCACACACATTATTTCTATTTATGGAATTTAGGAGTTGAATTATAAATTTTTTCACACACATTTTACATTTTTTGTGCACCTAGTAAACTGTATATAATAAAGTGTATATAATGTACAAAACTAAATGTTAAGGCTATTACCAGAAAGCCACACATATGCCAACAAAGAGCTGAATGCAGATTGTGACTTGATTCTGACAAAACTTGAACTCACACCATCAAAAGAATTTGTCCAGGAATTAAACACGTCCGGTGTGTATTACCTGAACACAATGATCTCCTCAGCTGAATCCTGTCTTCTCTTATACTGCTGGAGGCAGATGTTACAGTAGTCTTGGCGTGGGTGGAGTCCCCTTGTGACAGCAGCACGGAGGTGTGCCAGGGACCAGTGGAGGTCATGGTTCAAAAGACTAGTGGTTGTTTCAAGTAAAGTCTAAAAAATGAAAACACAGCATAATAAAAGGCAAAAGTGAAGTTTTTATTACAAACTATATATTCACATATTATGTAACAAAAAGAATTGTTTTCAAAAATTAAATATTAGTCCATAGCCATTAGTAATAACAAGTATTGTGTACACACACACACACACACACACACATACTTTGTGCTTTACCTGTTCATAGTTAAAGGTGTCCAGCATACCCAGAATAAGGCCTTGGATCTCTGCAAGCTTTCCTTTCCCATAAACCGGGTCCTGACAGACACACACATGCAGAAAGTGTCATGGATAAACAATACACAGTCTCAACAGACATATCATCCGATAATTAAATCACACATTACACACCCACGAAGCACAACTCAGAACAATGCAACAACACACTGGAGATCACTGTAACCAGCTGAAGGGATGTAAACAGAAGCTGCAGGTGTCTGTGAAGCAGATCCACAGTCAGTAAGATGAGCCACTTTAAAGTGGGGAAGATTAATAAAAGACACACACACACACACACACCTGCAGTATTCGTTGGATGATGGCAGGCAAAGGAATGAAGCTGCTCATAGAGTTGAGAACCTTCATCGTCAGCTCCTTCAGCACTGAGATGAAATCAAGCAGAATTATATTAATGGACAGCGTGATCACAAGATCCAAACAAGACAATGGCTACTCAGTCAGTTTAAGGTGTTGAACACATAATATATAAAGGCTATATGAAGGCTAATTATTTCCAACAGTACATGATTATAAAGACAGAAATACATTACATCAAATCCTAAACAAAATGAGAAAGTGTACTGTGTTTCTTTGTTAGCCAGCAGGACCTAAACATGCACCATTCATTTTTATAGCACAAAGAAATGGTGCATGTGTGTGTTTGGTCCAGGTTTACCCATGTTCTGGGTACAAATCAGTTTACAGAGTGACCTTGTGGGACAAAAACAAATTCCCCACAACAACATGTTTTAAGATTAGGGTTAAAGTTGTATGTGCGTGTGTTTTTACCTTCAGAGGTGTGTTTGGGATTGGACCCCTTCACTAGTTTCTGAGAAGCCATCATGGTCTCCAGAAGTGGAAACCACAGAACCTGAGAGACAAATAAGCAAAGAATGAGAGAGAGTGGTCCCACACCACCATCACACCCACATTCACTCACAGCCAAACCCCCCCTCGAACTAATCCTAATCCTAAAACCTAAAAGAGTCTTAATCCTTAAAAATCCTTCTGAAGTTATGAGGACCTGCCTAAATCTGTCCTCACAAGCACAGACACACACACACACACACTCAAACAAACAAACACACTACCTCTCTTTGTTGCTGGTAGAGGTTGTGTGAGCTTCGATGACACAAGGCGATGATGTCATTCAGTGAAAGCTTTACTCTGGTCAGTGTTGAATCACCGTTTCTCTCGTCTTCAACGTGTCGTCTGTCTTCTGCCTCTGTGCCACTCTCCGCAGTGAGGAGACACAGTTTCTCCTTCAGTGTCTGCAGACATGGGGACAATCGTGGATTCATAACATTCACCCGCTTAATTCAAGGACAGTTTGTGCTATTGGCACTGGTGATATGAATCAATAATTCTTTACAATGATGGAACTGATGCACATAAGCACACTGGTGTGTGTGGTTATCAATATAACAGACATGTCAATCTGCACAAAAGCCAGTGCAGTCATGGGTATGATGAATAATCAGTTTATTCATTAATGATTGAGTACGTCCTGTGTTCTGAAGCTACCTCTAACAAGACAGAAAAGGCTCCGTGAACGTCTCCCTTCCTCTCCAGCAGATAGGCTGTGGCTTCACTGTGGTGGTGCCTCTCTGTTATCTAGAGAGAGAGACAGAGGGGGAGAGCTGTCACACTCATTGTTGTGGGTGGGCGGTGCTGTATCACACTTTACTATGGCAGATAATAGAATTAAATTCACGCACTCATTATATCATTCAGTATAATACAGGGCTATGTACGTTTTCATTAGTGTAATACAGCCTTCATGTTTACTTCCTACAAAGGAGAGTGGTAGTGAATCAGGTTGTAATGTTTGTCTGGCTGTGTCTGACCTCATTCACTCCCCCCTACTCACTGTCTAACAAGAGTTCCATGTAGAAACTACACAGTGAGCCCATTGAAAAAAATGATTAAAAAAAAACACACTCAGGGAAAATACTCGTCATTTTCTTTCAGCTGTTAATGACACCACTGATGTGCCACATCAACATCAATAAGTCAAATCCGTATTTTAGTTACAAATACATAAGATACATATGATGAGGGTATTATCCCAAACAGAAAAGCGTTCGTGTCTATTACAACTTTACAACTTCTCTGTTTGGTCTTTGATGTCACATTTGAAGCTTGATGAGCTTGACTGTTTGTAACTCATGTTTGTAGCATGCCTCTAGCACCCGTCCACATAGTTAACATTTCAGCCAGTTTCTCAATCATCTGTCCCACAGAGCAGGTAACAGCGTCGTGCATTCACCTGCAACCACACATGTTCATTTAGGTTTCAATTTTATTTCCATCTGTTTTATACATGTAACTACCATGACTGTAAATTGGTCAATGTCAGAATTGTGGCTAAACACTGATGGAAGTTTATCCACATAGAAAGTATTTGATCTGTCTCACGAGTCTGGATGCATCTGTCGACACAGGCAGCACAGTGAAAGCAGCTACAGTCCCCTGCGGGGGATGCATTCAAGTACAGTATAGCTGTCGAGGTCTTCCCTGTTTGTCAGCACTCAGAGCCCAATAAACAATTATATAAAACAGAAGAAAAGAGACTTGAAGGTTTAAAGGTCATTGGTCGATCATAATATCTTATAAGTAACGTATATGGTAGATTAAGTTCATCCTTGTGTATCTGACGTGTTAACATCACAATATAACTTTAAATTCTTTGTATGATTTTTCGAAATGTATTGTCCAAAAGTTTTTCTTTAATTTCAGGATATTTCTCTGTTCCTTTTCCACTTTTATACAGCCTCACCCTTCTGAAGCCTATCTGGCAGATAGACATAAGAGACATAATTCAGAGGTAAGATGTGACTGTAATCAAAAGTCAGCAGGAAGAAAACCTAAGGGTTTTAAATTCTTAATAGACTGCGCTGGACTTCAGCCTCTTGTGGCCAAAAGGAAGTACTACATCAACAAACTAGATCACTAGATAATCTCTCTATTTTCTTCATTACAACTGCTAATGACAGGCACACTGTGGCCTGTTGTCCAAATGAAAGATTATTTCTGTTGAACTTCACCTGAGGGCTAAAATAGAGTGAGAAACGTATGTTCCTGTTCTGGAATGAGAAAGATGTGCCAATGTGATCTATCCAGCCACCCATCCGGTCACATCTGTCCTCAGTCTTATACATGCTTGACAATACAAATATTTATAACAAACTCTAGCACACAGTACTTGTATGGCCTCCTCCAGTCTGTAGTGCTGGGAGGTCTGGAGGAAGCTCAGGAGCTGCTGGGGTGCAAAGCGACACAGTAGGTCCAGCAGACGCTCGTGGAGGTCACGTTCCAGAGGCAGGTCGGTCTCTGAATGATGCCCTTCCCTGAGAGACAGAGCAGATGAGCAGTTAGAGGCCAGAAAGAAAAGAAGAGAAACAGGGAGGAGAGATGTGTATATTCAGAAGCCATTCAGACTGTACCGGGGCTCCAGGAGGCAGCTGAGGAACTTGAAAAGTAGCTCATCATCCTAGAGACAGAGACAGAGAGAGAGTACTAAGGAAATGTACCAATCATTATGGTTTATAGTGACAATAGAAGCCTACAGTGATGGGTGTGCATGTTGTCTTCAAGAGAGTTACTGTCTGCAGATGTTCACTCAGCGACTGTATGCACACCCAAAAACTGTGGGCAACTTCTATCAGCACTTCTTCTATCACGTTCCACAGAAAGACAATCATACAATTTGTGACGTTCATTGCACACGTGAGACTGTCACCAGTTAGTGCAAAGCCTGCTGCCACCTGATGGAGGCACTGTCCCACCTCACCTCGTTTACACATGTAGAGTTCAAAATAAAAACTACAGTTCTTTCATTTCTTTTAGAAAATGTTTCACTTGCATACACCGCTCCACCTGCAAATACATTTTCTGACACTGCCACTACGCCCCCTTTAAACTCCCTGCCTGAGGAACTGAGACTATTCTCTGACATCTTTCATATCACTTCTGAAGCCACCACAGTACCAATTTTAAACTATTTCATCGGGATTGTTTTATCGCAATAATCGAATGTTTTATTACATTCCCAGATCTCATTTGCTTTGACCTTGAAATGTTTTCATCCTGTTTCAACCATGTTAACCACTTTGTAACTGTGTTTTGGAAAGTGCTGTATGAATACATTTCTTCATCATTTATCAAGAGATGAGATGGTGTAAAAAAACAGTTACCAGTATTATCATGGTATTTTTAAAATGTGCTGTAAATGTTGAAAAATTACTACACACAAGTTATATTACTACACACAAGTTATATTCATTTCACAAGGTTGTATATTGATACATTATATATTATCAATAAAAAATAATGATAGTATTTTTATCATTTATTGAAGGTTGACAACTTGTTACGCTAAATGTCAGTCGGGACAAAATATCAGCATATGTTGAACGCACACAATGTGACAACAGTGGATGTTAGCATTTGTTAGCTAAGACCAGAGATTACTAACAGTTCTCCTGCTGTTACACCCCCCACATGCCCACTGCTCCTTCCGCCTTGTTTTTACAACACACACCAAATCCTGCACTCGTTGCGCCTCATCTTGGAGACATGCTGACTTTGGTTGATTAAACGAAAGAAACCTCTGGAACCAGGTTGGTGTGAGAGGAGAAAGATGGGAACAGTGGTGTAATTGTGAAGTTGTTCATTACAATCGGGTCATGCAGATGTTCAACAGGTTTAAGGTTCACCATCTTTGTGTGTTTCAGTCACTATACACGGTTGAGCTACTGAGAGTCAGAACACAAACAGCAGCAGTTTCCCACATGACAGGAATAATGTGTTGAAAGGAGCAGTGCACCGTAAAAACCGAGGGTTAGAACCATTAGTTCAGGGGAGAAGTGTGAGCTGTGTTTTTGAGTGCTGCTGTCTTTCTTTGCTCCCTCATGTTGCAGTGCTGAGTCTGTCTCAGTGGGCAGCAGCATGTGTTTAAAGGTTTGATCCACAATGACTGACATCATATAGATTCTCCACTGTGAGACATTCTGAAGGGTATTAAACAGTACTGATTGGGAATATTAAAATCTGTAAAGTTGTATAAAGGCTCCAGTGACGTCACATGTCACAACCTACTGGCCTAACACAGCCAAATCTCCACATGAACTGTTGCCGTTGGAGGTGCGATGTGGATCGGCACCAGGTTTACAAGCAAAACGTTTCTGTTGTTCTGTTTGTACTGAACTACTTTTGATCCTTTTAGGTTCAACCAAATATTGGTCAGCAGGGGGATTTTTACATGAATCAGGAAAAGATGTTTCGAGAAGTGTAGAAATGACATCATCACATTTGTCCAGCAGAGCATGTTTCTTGCATTGTCTGCAGCACATGTAGCATCACAGCTGAGCAGAGCCACACAGTGAGTTTCTAACTAGTTTGGGTAACAACCTGCTGGAAAGTTCATTTTATAAAATACTATTTTATTTAATGTGAACTTACCTCAAGCTCAGAGATGATTTGATGCACCTCTTCAGTCAAATGAAACACCACTATGTCAGCTGACTTGCTGGGGTCTAGTGTCACCAGCTCCTGTGATCATATGTTGGAGAGCTTGTACATTAATCTCTTACAGACATATTGTTCATCACAGAATGTTCTCCTTCATCTGTGTCCCTGCATTTGTAAAAATTCTTGATTCAAAACTACAAAAAGCGCACTGAAAGAAAACAAACCAAGCCCAATAGATAAGTTTGCTCATTCAACATGAGACCATGAAGCAAAGCCACATCAACCTTCAGCCAAGACTGTGAGGCTGTGTTGTGCTCCATAGCTGTGTGAATCAAATTGCAAAAAGATAAAGACTGACAAGCAGATTTTAAACAGGGCAGCAGATCTTAATGACTATTATATATCTATGCAGGATTTTTTTATATAACTGCTATATATCTGTGTCAATCCCCTACATCTGCAGTGACCATGTTTAAGTCTCCCTCATGTAGAGAATACAGGTTCTCCTCTTAAAAGCATGATTTTAAAGGGTAAAGAAAACACTTAATGATCTATTCACTCCTCGTAGTATCTAGGCTCAGGCAGCTGTTCCAGAAGCCTTCTGGATCCTGAACATGCTCGACCACATATCCCACCCAGTGACCCTGCCAGGAGTACAAGTACCACAGACTGATGGATGTGTGTGTGTGTGTGTGTGTGTGTGTTGTGTTTGTATTGACCTGGATGTGTTGCAGCACTTTCTCCTTCACTGTTTGTTTCTCTTCAGGGCTGTAGCCAGGCATGGACAGCAGATTGTGGATGTAGCTGAAGACCTCCCCCTAACCACGCCAACACATAAACAAGTTTTCAAACTTAAATAGGTCACAACGTCCGGCACACAAGCAATAAAAAGCAGACGAACGGCCCATTCCAAACTGACAGGTTTGGAACAGACACTACATGAGTCTTAACCCTTTAAGTCTAAGCCATTTGTTAAATACTCACACAAACCATCACCCATGTAAATGTACACACTCAGTTCAACCACACACATGTACTTAGATGGATCTGAACTGTATGTTACCTTTCTTAGCGGGTCTCTCAGGTAGCAGTCGATGATCCTGTCATAGAGATGTTTCTTCTCATAAAGGAATTCACAAATCTGGTAGCTGGAGGGCAGGACAGGGAGAGACAGAGTTCAATAACAACAATAACAATAGCAACTAATATAAGCTACAAATGTAACTTACACTATATTCTATAGGTTTCCATTGCTATCTTTGGTGTGTAACAGGTATTTAAGGTAAAATTATATGACAGTGAGACTTAAATTCAGTGTCTCTGTAAATGACTGCTGCAGCACTAATTAATACTTTATATTAACTATAGATCATCATATTGGAGCAAGGGTGTGAGCCCATTAAAAGTCACATAACACTGACTTTCTTAACAAATGTACAGTAGATTATGGATTTACAACATGTTACAATTTCTAAAAAATATCATTAGTTAAAGTCTTGGGTAAGCCACTTACAACTTGGCCTTCTCTGCCAACGCCAACAACCTTTCTTCATTAAACTGCACCACACCCCCGACCTGCAGCAGCTCCAGGAGCACCTACAGACCAGTCACAAGAAAGACCACTGACATGAAGATATCATCTAGCAGTCTGTTTGTTTCATACATGTATTTGTACATAAATCGGAGTCCAAAAGTCTGAAACCACATTCCCATTCCAGTTTAGAATATGAAAGTCACCAACCTGCTGCCTCTCTGTGTGTCGGGAGTCATCGTCAGGGCAACACAGGAACTCCAGGACCTGGCAAAGACATTAAGAGCAAAGATGCAGAACATGGCTGATGTAACAAAACGGCTGATGAGACAGAGGCAAAGGAAACAGGTCAAAAGTTGATGCTAAGTGGGTTAGAGGTATGTTGGGTGGAGACAAGAGAGAAGTGTTGTCAGCGGGCCTATTAGATGTATAATGGCACAAACTGATAACGTAATGATACATGTCATTAAACAGCAATTCTGGCTTTACTATGAACTGATTAGTATTAAGTTGGAGCATTTATCTGTACTTCATATTTTCTCTGCTCTCAAATTGTCAGATGATGGGGTTGTTAAACACACATTTGTGGATCATTTACATTGGATTTACAAAAAATAGGCCAAATCGGTGAATTTAAATTACAGCAATATGTGCTGAAGACGTTCCCTTAAGACAGCTGTTCCAAAAAGAACGCACATTAAACAAAAACACAGATTACATTGGTTAATTAAGTGTCAATGCTCAGTGACATGCGGAAGCCAGAGAGAGAACTGTGTCCAGCGTGCACTCTCTCTCTCTTTGATGGCCAGTAATCCCTCAAGCACAGTCAAGTTGACTCTTATACGTGGTGACAGTTGTATTCACGTCACTGAATGAGCACAGACGCCCTCTGCAATCGTTGTTGCTCCACTTAGGATTTACCCCTAAATGTAACACACACTACGTCAGGGTCTTCAACTGACAGTTCAAATTCATGTCAGCAAATGATCCCAGAAAACGGCAAAACCCTCAATAAATCTGATGGCAAAGCTTTATGCTCTGACACAAAATCATGTCTGAAATGGATTGAAGACTGCAGCCCCTCCACTTCAGATCAGTGTAACAGCAGTCAGACTTCATCAACATCATGAGGTCACAGGTTCAGCCCCTAAACCACTGATCATAACGCGTATTGTGCAAGATGTAGTAAAACCATGAGCAGGCAAATGTTTGTAAAAAAATGAACTCGAATTAAGTTTGTAGCTGTGATCCAGAATAAGCAACCCACTGCAGTACAGCAGGTAGGTTGCTTTTACTGTGAAAATCAGTTCTTTTATATGATTCATGCAGGACTGAATAAGAACCAGGCTAGTAGCTTATTTTCCTGATGTATGAAAGTCGTGCTGCTACTGACCCTTATTTGGATGAGAAACTTTGTTAAATTAAATTCATTGTAATGCTGATTTGCAATGCATTTTCCACACTACATTATCAGATCAGATTTCGATTTGCTGAAATCTATTCACCGAATTGAACATTTTCTGTGAAATCTGGGCCCCATGCACACAAATTCCACATGGTGGCCATGGTCACTAATGATCTGGAGCTGGTGCAGTCACATTTCCTGGAATCCAAACAGAGCAGCCAATGCATCAGTTTGAACTCATTATCATGTGTTCAGAATTCCAGTATTCATTCCCTGTGTAACCATACAGGACCCTGTGCCAGTGGGCAGCTCTCAGTCAAACCATCAGGATATTTGGATTTCTAATGAAAACCTCTGCATATTTAGGAGATCTGATTGGTTACCTGATCAAAGAGCTTCCTGTTCACAAAAAGCGTGTTGTCTGGCTTGGCCAACTGTCGGGCCAAAAAGGTGAAGAGCCCGCCCACCTGGGAGGGGGTGAAGTCTGGGTTGTCCACCATAACCTAAGTAACCAGAAGAGATGTTAATGATCCAGGAAAGTAATACAATAGTTGATAGTCATACAAAAATATGAAGACATAAAAAACACAAATGATAAACTATGAGTCATTTGTATGCAGGTCACAGTCTCTGCTCTGACATATAGCTGCCTCAGTGTGTTGTTGGGTTCGATGAATACAGGAATATTGTGTAATTAACATATAATCTGTGGATATTTCAGCTGCATATGGCAACCATGTCACTTTTGGGTTTAGTATCAGTTGTTTCATAGATTTGCCAAACAAACGTAAAAACATAAGATGGGGTATTATTGAAGAAAATTTTATTTTGTCACATTATGAGGATAAAGCCGTAATAATATATCCATAATAGTACCAGAAAGAAACACAATATTACAAGAATAAAGTTTAATTTAATGAGAATAAAGCAATACTAATAGGGGGAAAAGCAGCCAGGGCAACCCTCTGGAATTTTAAAGCTTGAACCAATCTGATAATGGGTTGAGAAACTGAAACCAATAATAATAACAGTCAACCACTACCAAACATTTCCTCCAAGTCTGTGTAATTATTTCTTCAGAATCTTCACTTTATGAAAAGGTGCTCCACATTCTTCATTTTAACACAAGCGACAGACTGATCTTTTGATATTTTTCTCTCTAACATGACTTTATTCTCATATATTCTTGTAATATTACAACTTTATTCTCATAATATTATGGCTTTATCCTGGAAATGTAATTTTGTCCTCCTTTACTTGGCCTTAATACTAAAAAGAAGTTTTGTGATTTTACCTGCAGTAAGATGTCCACTATCCTCTGCTGGTACTCAAGGGCCTGCTTGTCATTCTTAAAGTCTTCAAATGTCTGGAATGAAGTGAGAAACCACAGAAGAAAGACTGTCAAACATCTCACCTTTCCATGTCCATAGTGACTGAGTGCACCACTTTGAATTTAAACTACTAAGATAGATGGATGAAAACTACAGCTGAATGCAGAATCACAAATGTAGCCAGAGGAGCTGAAACTATCCTTAGTTACAGCTGAATAAAGAAAACCAGTAAATAAACAATTGTTAATATTTCTCTGGATTATGTGACTCAACGGAATTAAATAAGCATCAGCATCCACTGATCTAACTTTTATTATTATTACCATTACTACCAATAATATTTTTTGTGTTAGTAGTAGATGTAGTAATAGTAGTCGTAGAAATAATAGCAGAAGTAATGAAGGTACAGGTGGAATTAAATTGGAACAGACTCAGATTAATTAATTATAATCTACTGTCAGGTACTATTTAAGATACAGTCATGAACAACATGACGGCATCTCACCATGGCGAGGACGTTGAGGAACTCCCGCGTGTCAAAGTGGAGGAGTGTACGAATAAAGGGGAACACCTCCTCCTCCTCTGACCAATCAGCTGAATGAAGATGGATCAGGAAGTCAAACACCTTACACACACACACACACACACACACACACACACACA